CCCCAGTGGCCCCGGGTGGCGCGTTGGGCACGGGAAAAGGTTCGCAGGAGCCGCGCTTCTGATCTGCTCTGGGTCGACTTTCAGGCTCAGCTGCTTGATACCATTAATGCAACATTTTTTTTTTTTTATCTGAACTCCGTGTGCGTGTGTGTCAACATGCAGCAGGTGGTTTATTATATTCCCCGGTTATTATTTTATTACGGGCTCTTTTTATAGCTGCAATCACAATGATGCCCTGGAGTTTCGAGGAGGATTTTGCGTCTGTTTTGCACCACTCGCTCGAGCTTCTGAAAATATTTGTTTTGGGGGGGTGGGGGAGGCGACACGTGGGGAGCTGGAGTGTCTTCTGCTCCTGCCCGGGAACGAGCGAAAACTGGGTGCAAAGTTTGACTTGAAAGATAGCGGCCACCCAAAGGGCGGGCGGGGCGGGGGTTCGCACCCCACTTGCCCGGTTTGGGAAAGGCGGAGGCGGGAGCGCTTCCCCAGCCGCCCAAAGGTGCACGGCCGCCAGGATGGCAGAGAGGTTTGGCGGAGTTGTGAAAAGCAGAGCTCGGCTTGTCTTGCTTTAACCTACATTAGCTCCGGGTCCATATGGTAGATGCTGCCTGTGGATCCTCAGCAGCAAAGCGAGGCCCTATTCTTGCACGCCGCCCTGCTTGTGCCAGATGGTGCCTGGACCAAGTGGCCATGCGTGGGGTGGCTCTGGTTAGCCTAATAAACGTCCAATACAAGTCAAAAATCAAAACACACACATACTAACATCTGCTAGAGCCTGCAGTACCCAGCTAGCCTTTCAATACTGAATTAAAGAGCCCCACAGCCCTTCTGTTCCCCTAGGTTAGACACTCATTACCATTTATCAAGCACTGATGTTATCTGGCCTCTCATTTTATTTAGTACCGAAGCTATTAGCATCAGATTTGATTTTGACAGTTGACGCTGCTGCTGGTAAAGCCGGGATCTGGCCGGGCGGATCGCTGCAAAATTCCGAGTTCATCAGCGGCGACACATTCCTCCTTCCCACTTGTTTACGAGGCCGAGACAAAAGAGCTCCTCGCCTGTGCCTCTGCCGTGTGGTTTGCCTCCAGCATGGACACGGCTCCCGCCCGTGCCCACGAACACGCACACGTCCACCCCGGACGGAGCCAAGCCGAGGGCGCCCGGCCCCGGCCGCAGCCCCCCGATATTGCCAGGGCTTATGCCCTCCTGCTCCGGCTTTCCCCGGCTCAGCGGGGACCAGGAGAAGTTGCAATCCCCCTTTTGGCGGCGACCCCCATTCCCGGCCTGGCCCCCTCCTCAAACCCGCCCGCGCCCACGCGTGTTGGCGGCGATGGCACCGT